CTCCGGTGTTTTTGCACCTGCTGCCTGTCCTGCTTAGCAGCGACTGGTCCGGCCACAGTGCCACACTCTCCAACGTCTGAGGGACAGTGAACTGGCCCCTGTTAAAAGTTTGAGGACCCTGATCTAGAACTTTCATAGCTAAAGAGAAGTCATTGCCTGGCTTCAAGCTTCAAAGGACCAGGTGACTCTTGAAAGGGGTTAATGCGCTGTTGATTTTAAGTTGAAGCCTAATGTTCAATTTACATTCCAAAAAATCTAGGGCCCTTAAGAATATGCTAAATCTACTCTTCCAGTGCTCTATAAATGGAACAACAAAGCCTAGAAGACAGCACATCTGTTTACAGCATGGGTTTACTGAATATTTTAAGCCCACTGTCGAGACTACTGCTCAAAAATAAAGATTCCTTACAAATATTACTGCTCACTGATGATGTATCTGGTCACCCAAGAGCTCTGATAGAGATTATTAAGGACTTAATGTTGTTTTCATGCCTGCTAAACAGTATCCATTCGTAGTCCATGATCAGGAGTAATTTTTGATTTCAAGTCTTATTATCTTAAGAAATACATTTTCTTACAAATTTAAGAGAGTTCAACAGAGTCTTTGAAAACAGGTGGAGAGTAGTAACTTGTTTAGCAAGGCAAAGGAACTTTCAGCTCAGCATGCTTGTAGAGGAGGATAGACTAGAAAAGAGTCTATACACCTTGCAGAATCCTAGAGGGGTTTAAGACTTGGATATATGGGACTCAAACTGGAAATTGGTTGATAGTCATATATATATATATAATTTTATTTTATTTTATTTTTTTGAGATAGAGTCTCGCTTTGTTGCCCAGGCTAGAGTGCCGTGGCATCAGCCTAGCTCCAGCAACCTCAAACTCCTGGGCTCAAGCAATCCTTCTGCCTTAGCCTCCCAAGTAGCTGGACTACAGGCATGCGCCACCATGCCGGCTATTTTTTGTATATAAAAAAAAAAAAAAAAAAAAAAATATTAAATTCAGACACAGAAAGAGACTGAGCTAATATGCACCAAAATGTTAATAGTGATCACTATAGGTGGGGAAGTATTATTTTTACTCTGTGTTTGTGTGTGTGTGCTTTTCCAAAGTTTTGACAATGAGGATGTGTTATTTTATAAAAAGATGTTTAAAATGTGTTACATTTGAATATTGGCAAATTTTAAAAACAAATCTAAAAAAAATATAATAGAGGCAATTAAAGGGAGACTAGGACAGGGGTCCTGATTTTCCCCCATGGAGCTTCAATTTCCTCATGAATAGAGGTAAACTTACAGGGTAATTTATAAAATTAAATAAGTTAATACATAATGCTTGGTTCTGGAAATTGGCACATACATTTCTTTTTTTTTTTTGAGACAGAGTCTCACTTTCTTGCCCAAGCTAGAGTGAGTGCCATGGCATCAGCCTGGCTCACAGCAATCTCAATCTCCTGGGCTCAGCGATCCTACTGTCTCAGCCTTCCAAGCAGCTGGGACTACAGGCATGCACCACCATGCCCAGCTAATTTTTTGTATATATATATTTAGTTGGCCAATTAATTTCTTTCTATTTTTGGTAGAGACGGGGTCTCGCTCAGGCTGGTTTCGAACTCCTGACCTTGAACAATCCGCCTTCCTCAGCCTTCCAGAGCGCTAGGATTACAGGCATGAGCCACCGCACCGGGCCTTATAAATTTCAATAATCTTATTTAACTGTTCCCTCTCCTTTGCAGATGGAAATTAATTCTACTCCCTCTCCCTTTTTGCTTGTATACACTTTCCCCAGGAGCTTTAATTCAAACATATTGAGTTAAAAGCAACATACTACAAATCACTTTCCCTTCCAACTCCTGCCAGGTTATAACAGATTGAAAGTGAGGTGTCAAACAAGAGTTACTCAATAAAAATGAGCAGGGGTTAAAACATTCCCAAGGGACTGTTTACTGACTGGGTCAAGGGTGCAGTCTAAAGGGCCTCACAAATAGAAATGATCCATTTATGACAAGGGTCAATAAATGAACCGTTACTGCTCTGTCACAATCACACCAGCAGGCTTAAATACTAGAGCAGAGGGCAGAGTGGAAACCTACATTAACTGAAAACTTACTAATTGAAAGTCACTGCACAAGCCATTCTATTTATGTATATTCAACTACTTAAAATTAAGTTATAAGTAAAAGATATAAAATATAAAAATATAAACAACCACGGAAAGCACTCAGTGTGATTTCTTGAGTTTGCTAGAATATAAGCTCCACAAGAGAGACTTTGGTGGTTAGCACACTGTATATGTGTGCATGACTGTGCATGTACTATGTACATGTGTGTGGATCCCCAAAATAGAGTAGGTCATAGAAGCTTCTAGACGCCTACTGCAAAGAAGGAAAGAAAGCATATGGAGCTGTTCTGGATGGGGGAGATGGCCCTGGAACTCTACTTGGGATACTTCTTTTCACGACATTCACAATCTCTTGTTCTACCTCTGCTTGTAACCCCACCTCATCCCCATTTCTTCTACCAGATTTAGCTAGACTGCTTTAAACTCATGCAGTTTAAAGTACAACAGTTTTTCATTGTTCTAGCATTTGCTATTATATGAACTTTATTTCCCCTAAATCAGGAATAAGTTAATACTATTTAATACTGTAATATTTCTTCAATATAGAGACACGAAATGACAGGCTCCAGACTTACTCATGGACAGCATACACAAAGAGTACATCCGTAAAGATGACAGAAAATCTCTGGAAAAGTAAGGTCCTTGAGCTGCAGTAATTCAGATTATGGATATTCAGCATCTCTTGATCAAAATATTTAGCAATATGTGATAGGACATACTCAAACCATGCAAAAAAAGGGGGGTAATCCAAGGTCCACTCTGAAGTTGCCTGTGATAAAAATTGAAGATAAAACATATCTTAAGAAACTGAATAAATAAATAAGGTGTAAACAGTGAAAATTTTGCATTCTCTGGTCTTTAAAAAAGCACAATGAAATGAAATTGCATTTAAAATGTGCACTAAATTAATAGAGCAATTCCTATGTAAGGCTGAGCAGAACACTAAAACCTGTCTTCCAAGTTATTTAATATGGTCTCCAACTTCCTTAAAGTCAACTATACCTCAAAGGAAATTAATCTAAAACCTTGAAATAATAAACTGAGTTACAACATGGTTCTACTCATCTGAATATGAAAAGAGCTATAATATAACAAATGATTCACTAGCTTGGGTTCAAGTTCTCTGACTCAATTTCTCTATTTGTAAAATAAAGTACCGTAACAAATTAGATAATACATATATGAAATATATTTATAAACAACAAAATGGTACACAAATGCTATGTATCTTTTGTTTTACTAGGTTAGGAGTTTTTTTTTTTGAGACAGAGTCTCACTTTGTTGCCCAGGCTAGAGTGCCATGGCATCAGCCTAGCTCACAGCATTCTCAAATTCCTGGGCTCAAGCAATCCTTCTGCCTCAGCCTCCCGAGTAGCTGGGACTACAGGCATGTGCCACCAAGCCCGGCTAATTTTTTTCTCTATATATTTTTAGTTGGCCAATTGATTTCTTTCTATTTTTAGTAGAGACAGGGTCTTGGTCTTGCTCAGGCTGGTCTCGAACTCCTGACCTTGAGCGATCCTCCTGCCTCGGCCTCCCAGAGTGCTAGAATTACAGGCGTGAGCCACTGTGCCCAACCTAGGAGATTTCTTTTTTTTTTTTTCCCACTATGATGGTTAATTTTATTTGTTCAAGAGCTCAGCCTAGGAGATTCTTGAGAGTAGAAACTAATTACCCATTGTCATTTCGCATCCTGAGCATTAAATAATCATTAGTTAGAGGAATGAACAGTCACTAATGAGTAAATGAAAATAGAGATCAAATGAAAAATATGCAAACTTTAGAATATTATTTTTTGTTCTATTTCTCTAAGTATGTTTTCTCACCTATATAACAGGGTAGTAATAGCTACTTCATGAGTCATTGTATTATATTTTATATATACACATACAAAATACTACATATATAGTATTGAAACTCACAGAAAAGTCACAAAAAACTTGCCTTAAAAAATATCTTCCTAACAGCAGAGGGCTGCTTTTGATCAAGACACTTCTGAGGTAATGTCTGTTTTCTATAAAGTATCACATTGTAATTTAGTAATTCATACCAGAAATAAAAATACAGACATAGATTTTATAATAGGAGAGAATGGTGTGTATATTACCTGATGCCTATATATCATTTGATTATTCCTTTCCTCATAAAATCACAAAACATTAGAGATAGCAGGATCTTAGAAACAATTCTAAATCCTCATGTGCCAGATAAGACACTAAGGTCCAGAGAGATGAAGTACCTTTCCTCTATATAACTAGTTAGTGGCAGAGCCAGGCTTAGAATCTAATTTTTCCTCTTTCCTAATCCAATGCTCTTTCAAAGACTGTGGCAGATATTATAATCCCCAATTTATAGACTGGAAAACTCATTTTGAAGTAATGGGATTCCCTAATATAGTGCTAGAAGACAGAACTAGGGAAAAAACACAATTTTTATATTTTATTTTATTTTATTTTTTTGAGACAGAGTCTCACTTTGTTGTCCAGGCTAGAGTGAGTGCCGTGGCATCAGCCTAGCTCACAGCAACCTCAATCTCCTGGGCTCAAGCTAGAGCTAGATGGAATAGAAACTACAATAAAGGAGACCTGACTAAATTGGCCCTGGAGACTGGCGGTGAGGGTGCCTCCTTCCCTTCGCTGTGTTCCGAGCTCGGAACACCTATCACTTGGGTTTAACCCCTTTTGAAATCATGTATGGCACACCCTCCTGTAGTTCTAGGATGAGCCCTGAGGCTCTTCTGGGACATCCCAAAGAAGTGTTGCAAGCGGTGCAGGCTCTGCAACGTGTCCACAGTCAGTATGGCCAGGCCTCCGTGCTATCTACGGCCTGGAGGAGGGTGCCGGACACCATTTCACCCACACCAGCAGGGGATTGGGTGTGGGTGAACGCATAACAACAGAACCTCGAGCCGAGGTGGAAGGCCCCTATCAATTATTCTTGTTACCCCCACTGCTCTTAAGGTCGATAGAATGAAGTAGCGACCTGGATACACCACTTCCACGTGAGACCTGCTAATAAAAAGACCAGGGACGGTGCCAGGACCAGTGGAAAGCAACTGCAGACCCGGGGAATCCTCTGAAGACCAGACCTGACCCGCGTGGCGGCGACAGCCCAGGACTGCTGACCCAGACTTGGACTGGGTTGTGGCATCTAAAGATGAACTGGGTGACAACATGGACGGCGCGGGTGGGGTTGGGTTGTGTGTTTTGGATGTTGTGTTTTGTCTATGTTTTTGGGATGGAGATCTACAGCTATAACTTACCGCCCGAACCCACCAACCCCATAACCTTACATGGGTCTAAAGATTACTGTATAATGGTGTTATGTTCCCAAAAATAATATACACACTGAGGAGACAATGTATGAGGCATAGTAGGGCGAAGAGTCACCAACCTAATTTTAAAAGAGAAAGAGAGGCTGGGCACAGTGGCTCACGCCTGTAATCCTAGCACTTTGGGAGGCCGAGGCGGGTGGATCGCTCAAGGGTCAGGAGTTCGAAACCAGCCTGAGCGAGACCCCGTCTCTACCAAAAATAGAAAGAAATTAATTGACCAACTAAAAATATATATAGAAAAAATTAGCCGGCATGTGGCACATGCCTGTAGTCCCAGCTACTCGGAGGCTCAGGCAGTAGGATCGCTGAGCCAGGAGATTGAGGTTGCTGTGGCCAGGCTGATGCCATGGCACTCACTCTAGCCTGGGCAACAAAGTGAGACTCTGTCTCAACAAAAAAAAAAAAAAAGAGAAAGAGAGCCCTTCACACCATAACCCTGGCTACTGTTTTGGCTTAGGGCAATAGGAGCAGGAACTAGTATCTCTTTCCTGGCAATGCAGCAAAGAGGGTGTTAATACTCTGAGGACAGCTGTTGATGAAGATATTGCAAGGATAGAAGACTCAATTTCACACCTGAAAAGTCACTAACCTCCCTATCTGAGGTAGTGCTCCAGAACCACGAGGGGGTTAGATCTACTATTCCTCCAGCAAGGAGGACTGTGTGCTGCCCTCAAAGAAGAATGTTGTTTCTATGCGAGACCATACGGGAGTTGTGAGAGAATCTATAGCTAAGTCAGGGAGGCTTGCCTGCCGCAAACGGGAATATGAACAACAAGCAGGTTGGTTTGAGTCTTGGCTTAACAGTTCCCCCTGTTAACAACGCTACTATCCACCCTACTAGGCCCACTCATTATGTAATCTTAGTCCTTACTTTCGCGCCATGTGTAATTAATAGACTAGTACTGTTGTGAAAGAATGGATAAACACTGTCCAGCTACTAGTATATGCAACAACAATATCAGCAGCTATGGTCAAGTGCTATAGAACTAGAGCACCTAAGAACCTTGAGGAGAGCAAGAGTGGCTCGTCTGCTACCTAGGAGAAAGGGAGAATGTAGGCAGAGGAATTTGTAGGACAGAGGAAGGCAGAGGAATTTTCCAATTGTCGGGAATTTACTTGGGTGGTGGCATGAGCTAACCAGAACTTTGCTTCTGGTCATTGCTTGCTTGCTACACCCGCTGTAAGGGGAATTATGGGATGAGGTCATGAAGCACGTGCGGGCTGCCCATCAGGCAATAGAGAGAACCAACCCACCAATGATTTTCAAAGAGCAATAGTGGGCGCAACCAATCATTTTAAAGGTCAACACATGATCAGTGTCAAGTCGGCTTGGCGGCAGCTGTGTGACATGGGATAAAAGGCATTGCTGTTGTTCCGTCGGGGTCCTTGCCTGTAAGTGAGTCCACTGTGTTGTGCTCTGGGCTTGGACCCTGCTAGCAGAAAATAAACCTCCTCTTGTGTGATTGCAAAAAAAAAAAAAAAAAGTCCCCAAACAATAAATGTTGCATGGATGTGGAGAGATAGAACACTCCTACACTGCTGGTGGACTGCAAACTATTCAACCTCTGTGGAAAGCAATATTGATACCTAAAAGCGATACAAGTAGATCTAATTTGATCCAGCAATTCTACTACTGGGCATCTACCCAAAAGATCAAAGACACTTTATGCAAAGTTGTGGAAACAACCCAAGTGCCCATCAATACATAAGTGGATTAATAAAATTGGTATATGTTCCATGAGTACTATCAGCTAAGAAACAATGGTGATATAGCACCTCTTGTATTTCATGGATAGAGCTAGAACCCATTCTACTAAGTGAAGTATCTCAAGAATGGAAAAACAAGCACCACATGTACTCACCAGCAAATTGGCATTAATGGATCAACACTAAGTGGACATATAGGAATAACATTTATTGGGTGTCAGGCAGGTGGGAGGGGGAGGAGAATGGGTATATACAAACATAATGAGTGAGATGTGTAATGTTTTGGATGGTCATGCTTGAGCTCTTACTTGAGGGGAGGGGGCATGGCAATATATGTAACCTTAACATTTGTACCCTCATAATATGTAAAAAATAAAAAATAAAAAGAACTCCACAGCAAAGCCAATTTACACTGTCCAGTGTTTCCACACATTGGAAAGTGTATGTTCCACAATGACAACTTTCTCCAAGTCTCCTAGCAACTCCTTCTCAGTCTCAATCATGCCTTCCCTTCCTATATTCATCAGGTAAGTGTTGATGTTTTTCTAGGTTCAGTTCTTGTCCTTTTTTTTTTTAAATGCAACTTACTCTGCTTTGGACAATCATATTCATACTTTTTGGTTCGATATTAATTGTACAATGAAGACTTCCAGATCGCGATATGCAAACCTTGGTTTTTTTTTTTTCCTGATTTCTAAAGATAGACATCTCCATTTCCTCCTAACACTCTAACCTGAATTCCTACAGACGCTTCCAAATCACCACTAAAAAATGAACTGATGATCCATCAATCCCAATTCTAAGTATTATACATACCAACAGAAATGCATGATACATTCGCAAAAAGAAATGTATATCCATCAAAAGACTTGTACTATAGAAAAATGTCCAAAGCAGCATTATCTGCACAGGCAGATAATTCAAATGTCCATTGAACAGAATGGCTCAATCAATTGTGGGACATTCATATAATTGAATACTATAGGGCACCAATTCTCAAAGTGTAATTCAGGGACTCCCACAGAGAACTCAAGGAGTTTAATCAGATCAAAACTGTTTTCATAATAATACTTAGATGTAATTTGCTCTTTTTCACTTATTCTCTCATGAGTATACAGTGATGTTTCAGAGGCTACATAATGTGATGTCATTACTCTGAAGGCTAATGCAATTTGTACTTGTATATTCTTGTGCTTTAACAATTTGTGTTAATTTCTAAAATGGTAAATATCTATTATACAACCCCTATAAACCTATAGCTCTTTGTGGCCCTCTATGATTTTAAGAGGTGAAGGGATTCTGACTAAAAGGTTTGAGAACCACTGCTATATAGCAGTGAGAACGAACAAACTATGATTACATGCAACAACACAAACTTAATGCTGAGTGAAAGAAGCCAGACCCAAAAGAACATGTTGTATGATTCCATTTGTACGAAACTCAAAAATAGGCAAATTTAATCTATGGAGTTAAAAGCCAGATACCAATACCCTTTGTGGTTAGGATGGGAGGAGTGACTGGAAAGAGGCATAAGGGCTTCTAATAATATTGTTTATGATCTAGATGCTATTTACAGATATATTCACTATAAAAAATTCAGTGATCTATACATTTATGATTTGTGCTTCTGATATATATACTTGACTGGGTATAGAAATCTAGGTTAAAAATTACTTTCATTCTGAATTTTGGAACACTGATCCATTGGTTTTTAGTACAAAATGTTGATGTTGATAAGTCTCTTTACAATTTTCCCTTTATTTCTGGGAGTATTTTGTTTCTTTTTTTATCCCTAGCAGTCTTAAATGTCTAGTGATTTATGTCATTCAAGCGTCCTTCAGCTCTGGGAAATGTTACTTATTTGTTAACCCCCCCTTTTCAGTTTCTTTTTCTGAAACTAGTTGAATGCTAGACATCCTAGATTGGACTTCTAATTCCTATCTTTTCTTTCATTTTTTGAAAGATTATCATTATCTTTTTTATTTTAATTTTGACAATTATATTTTCTATTTTTAAGTACTCTATTCTCTCATCATTCCTGTTTCATAGCATGTGTTGTTTTATGGATGTATCTTTTTGAATCTCTCTGAAGATGGCATTTAGAACTCATTTGAGTGAGTTTGGGGAAATTTTATTAGTTGTATTTTATCAATCTCCTTTAGTCTCTTTTATGGTTGTTGTAGTTATTTTGTTGTTTCTTATTGGAAACTATTGGAGATTTCACTTTGTGATGGCCAGGTATAGAGCTGACAGTTTCACTAGAAGAACCCCCAAAGCTAGTAAAAGTCTTCCTCTGGGTTGTTTCTGCTTCTCCAAAGACTAAACCTCTGATTTTCTGCTTGCATTTGAGCTGAGAGAAGGATTCTGACTAAAAGGTTTGAGAACCACTGCTATATAGCGGTGAGAACGAACAAACTATGATTACATGCAACAACACAAACTTAATGTTGAGTGAAAGAACCAGACCCAAAAGAACATGTTGTATGATTCCATTTGTACGAAACTCAAAAATAGGCAAAATTTAATCTATGGAGTTAAAAGCCAGATACCAATACCCTTTGTGGGTTAGGATGGGAGGAGTGACTGGAAAGAGGCATAAGGGCTTCTAATAATATTGTTTATTGATCTAGATGCTATTTACAGATATATTCTGTAATATTAACTACCATATATAGATCTTATATATGGAAGAAGGATATTAACTACACTACATATATAGATCTTCAATTAATCTGAATTTTCTGCCCTTTGCCTTACTTCTGCCTTACACAAAACCTGGTGCCTCTGAATCTGGAGATTCTCCTATTTAATTTCTTCAGAGAAGAAACCTCACTTTCAAGGGGTATAGATGCTACATGCCAGCATTATGGGACTACAGGTCTTTTTTTTTTTTTATGTATGAATATATTGACTATCCGCTAGGTGTGGTCGCTCACGCCTGTAATCCTAGCACTCTGGGAGGCCGAGGAGGGTGGATTGCTCAAGGTCAGGAGTTTGAAACCAGCCTGAGCAAGAGCGAGACGCCGTCTCTACTATAAATAATTACAGGCGTGAGCCACCCGCCCGGCCCTGTATTATATTTTATATATACACATACAAATACTACATATATAGTATTGAAACTCACAGAAAGTCACAAAAATTTGCCTTAAAAAAAATATCTTCCAACAGCAGAGGTCTGCTTTTGATCAAGACACTTCTGAGTAATGTCTGTTTTCCATAAAGTATCACCATTGTAATTTAGTAATTCATACCAGAAATAAAAATACAGACATAGATTTTATAATAGGAGAGAATGGTGTGTATATTACTGATGCCTATATATCATTTGATTATTCCTTTCTCATAAAATCACAAACATTAGAGATAGCAGGATCTTAGAACGATTCTAAATCCTCATGTGCCAGATAAGACACTAAGGTCAAGAGATGAAGTACCTTTCCTCTATATAACTAGTTAGTGGCAGAGCCAGCGCTAGAATCTAATTTTTCTCTTTCCTAATCCAATGCTCTTTCAAAGAGTGGTGGCAGATATTATAATCCCCCAATTTATAACTGGAAAACTCATTTTGAAGTAATGGGATTCCCTAATATAGTGCTAGAAGACAGAACTAGGGAAAAACACAATTTTTATATTTTATTTTATTTTATTTTTTTGAGACAGAGTCTCACTTTGTTGTCCAGGCTAGAGTGAGTGCCGTGGCATCAGCCTAGCTCACAGCAACCTCAATCTCCTGGGCTCAGC